TTTATTACAGCAGGTTTGATAAATACATAAATTAATTATATTTGAGATATTTATTCAATGAAAATATTTCTTAATCATATTTGTTAGAAACTGTTCTGTTCCAGTAAATCTTACTCATCTCTATATCTGTGTGTGTGTGTGTGTGTGTGTGTGTGTGTGTGTGTGTGTGAAGGTGGGGTTATATATGTACATAGATTTTTTTTTCTCTGAAAGACAAAGATTTAGAGACATACTGCACAATATTCTGCAAGTCATTTTTTCATGGAATGATTGAGAAAAGTGTTTATTAATATTTTTTACACACATCCCTTTTCCTAAGAGGCTTATTTACAGGTTTTCACCAATTATTAAAGTGATTAGCATCTATAGTTGTTTCCAAATCTCCCACTAGCAATTACGATATGAGGCATGAACATTTTAATTTTGTCAAGTTTGAACTTAAAACTAAACAAGAAACAAACAAAAAAACTTCCAAGAGCCAGGTTGCAGTTGAAATTCTCCCATAGCTTGTTTTCCCAGGGCCAGTTACTATTAAAAGAAACTCTGAGAACCTAACAAATCTGTCAGACAGCTACTTAGTGACAGAACCAAATGAATATTGTTCTGTGAGTGTTTTAATAACGCAGCATTTTGGAAGCGTTTTCCCAAGATTATTTCTAATTGGCCCTGTCATAAAGTGGTCACAAACTGCCTTTACAACAGTAATCAGTTTGAAACCAGTTGTGCAAGCCTATGACAGAAAGCTGTTAATAATATGCTTCGAAATTTACCTGTGAAATACTGAGCTTGACTACTTTTGAAAAAGCAGAACTGAAAGTAAACCCACCAGCAGCAGAAAGGGACCACCTTTGGACTCCCTCACCCTCACCTGAGCTTGCAACAGACCTTGGTGCACCCATTGGTTAGTGGAATCAAACCTGTTTCAACATGTAGGCAAGTGCCCTTCAGTGTCACTTGAGCACAGCCCGTGGGTGTGGCGAGTCCAAATACACCGTGAAGCCTGGGCCCTCATCCGGGTGCTCGTGCCCACCAACACCGCCAGGACGGCCCTCAGCCTCGCAGCACGACTGACCGTCACCAGAAGGGAGGGCAGGGAGGCCCCTCCGGGTTCTGAGCTCCTCCAAGACCCTCCTCTTTCCCAGCCCCACCCCAGGGCCGAAGAGCCAGACCTGCGCCAGGCGAGGTGGATTTAGTCCCCTTAGAGTTAAGATGGTATCATTAGCTGCGCACAGCGTGACTTCCTACTAATCCTCTCTGCAACTTACAACAAGTTTAAATGTCCATGCATGATGTTATTAACTGGCTTTAGTAAGTGCTTAAGACCCAGATCTCTTTTTAAAGTAATCACTGAACAAGTTCTACTGTATCCACCCAACAAGGAGATTAATATTTTCAGCAAATCTGATAGGGGAAGACGCTCTCTGAGTTCGTAATGGGCCATGGGGGTAGAGGTCCAAGTTGATCTCCGGAAGGGTCCAGAGCAGTTTGCGCTCACCAACCCCCTCTCTGGAGACACAAAACTTCTTCCCACAAGATCTTCCCCCTTGGGGTGCGGGGGGGGACCGAGCGCGCGCCAGCCCCGGGAGCGCGCGCGCCGGCGCACCAGCTCGGGCAGCTCGGGCAGCCGGTCTCCCGGGAAACACCAATCAGACGCCCGCTTTCAGGCCCTGGCCGCGAGCAGCCGCCGCTGCAGGACTCTGGCTGCTGGCGGTCACCGGGAGGCGTCGTGCTGCCCGGCGGCCGGCCGGCTGCCTTCGCCGCTGCCACTGCCTAGCCCGACCACTTTCGCAGCCAGTCAGAGTCTGCTGTCTCCCCTGGCGTGCACCGCCCACGCCAAGCACCTAGCGAGGCGGTGGCTAAGCCTGGCTATTTTTAGATCGCAAGAATACGTAGGGCTAGAGCTCGGCTTAAAACCCAGTTCAACCAACCAAGCACAGTGATGTGCTTGTCTTTGAACACATATGCCTCAGCACTACATTATTTCCCTGAATAAAGTCGATTATCTTCACTTTTTAAAGTCCTACCCTCCTGTGGTCTGGCAGTTGACTGCAAAGCGGAAAGCCACAGGCTCCCACCTCAAAGACGGTCATCACCTTTCTAAGGAAGTGCACTAAGTCGCGGCCCTGATTGAGGGTGATGCAGATATTCCTTAGCAATCATAGCTATATACTTAGCGTTTTCATTCACCATCTTTAGAATTAATTCCACAATAAAACTGAACAATTCCCAGGAGGGATGAAATGGATTCTCAAAGCAGATGAGAATAGAGGTTTCGGCTGACTTCTGTACTAGGTTAACTTGTGCTAAGAAACCAGTGAACACAAAAACAGGATAACAAGGCCATCCATTAAAATCTGGAGACACTGAAGAACAACCTTACATGCCCCATCGCCGTAGGACCTGTTTAACTGTCTCAAAGTACCAGTGTTAAAAACAATTGACCCAGTATTATGGATGTCTTTTTACTCAGCAACTTCTAAAGGACACCTTGCCTCCTGTTGCCCAATTCACCACCTGCACCCCCTTCCAAGTGCAGCATCATATTATGGTGTTTTACTGTAACTAATTAGGAAAAAGCCAAGTCATAGGAAGACAGGGTGGGGAAAGGTTATCAATATTCTTATTAGAATGGCATTTCCAGATATACAGAGCCATAGAAAAAAAAACAGGTATATAGTTATACACTGTCTTTAATACATTTTCTAGCCACACTGGAAAAGAAAACCTTTGGCTTCATCTCGCTCCATTTTTAAAAAGGCAAATTTCATTGAAGTCTAAACTGTCTTGAACTGCTTATATGTAGTCTATGAATAGGAAGAATGTTTATGAACTTGAAATGTACTTATCTCATACTATTTAAGTGGTTTCTTAATTTTCATCAAAGGCTACACGAAATCAAATTAGCATTTCATATTTTTCCAAATAAGAAAATTATTTTAATTTAAAAAATAAACACAGAGCACAAGTAGAAGAAATTTAGTGTTTAAGAAGATTTAAAGAAAGGCCACTTGGGGAAAATAATTCATTTTGACTGTAAATAATGCATTTATCTCATTACTATGCACATTAATGGTAACTGCACTAGGGGGCTGATACTGGTAAGTCTATTCATTCATATCCTGCAAGGATATTGCAGAAGTCTTTCCATATATCTTTTTTTTTAATCTCTAATTTCCATTCTTGTTGTTGTTTTGGATTTTTCTGTATGACTGGTTTTATGTTATATCCTCTATAATTCTATTATTGAGTGACTTTTCATTGTTAATTTTCTTGTATAAAGTAGGACAAGGAAAATAAATTGGTTATATCTTTATATTTACTTTCACAGGTGTCATTTTATCGGCCTATTTCTAAGTATTTCATGAAAAGATTCTAGATGTCAAAACCTGCAGTTAACGTTCCTGTTTAGAAATACACAAAATAATGCCTTTGACGTCGGCAACTCAGATGTATTATTCAGCAAAACAACAATTACTCACTGCTTTGCACTCACATGTTAAGAACTATGCGACACTTGGTGACACAATAACAAAATTGCAAAGTCAATTATATTTAAAATAGACATCCTAATAAAACAGACACAACCAACTCCTTTTACTCTTTTTGAATTGTTTTGTTTCCTTTTTCTGACTGTTTACAGTCAAATAGATTGTGTGAACCTTCAACCTAAGTATAATAACTGCTTCACACACCTTGAGAAAAGTTTGAAAATGGAGAGGGGAAGTAACATAAAAAGAGGTGTATTCCTGAGGGCACCAGATTCCAACTAGGGAGGTGCCAGAATGTCAAATATTTTTGGAAATGTACATCTATGATGTTCTTTTGCAATTTCAATCACAGTGGCAAACTTGAAAGAGCAGTGTCTGCCAAAATTTAAAGCACAATTTAAGCTAGATCCATACCAATAATTCTCAGCAGAACTAAAGCAATAAAACCCAAGGAGAGTGTCTTTATATTTAAGAAACCAGGGTTTCGGGTGGGACTAGTTGTTTGTTTTATTCTATTTTAATTGCACCAGAAGCATTTTTGTAACTTGAACTTCCCAGTGATGAATTCCACTTCTGAACCCAGCCTACAGCCTAAATTGAGGTTCCCACCAGAAAATTAAAATGTTTGTCTGGATAAAATAACTTCTAAATGAACTCTCTATTTCTTTTCGTTTCTTTTTGTATTTTCTGCAATGTAGCCCCTCGCAATGATATTAGTTCTAGTGTGGGAAAATATTATAATTGAGATCTGGTAAGTTATTTGCAGACTTCAAGTTTTTCTTTACACTGTGCTGACATTTAGTACAGCCCTGGTGAGGAAAACAATACTACCATTCATAGCTGTAGACGTAGATTTCAATCGACTTAAGCGGGCACAATGAAACTTGGTCATTCACTGGTTACCCATATTGTGTTCTCAAATTTTCTCTCAGCAAAAGTATAATGACTCAGTATTGTATGGTTGCATAGACAAGGGCTCGGAACAAGAGACACTAGTTTTGTCTGACGGTGTGAGAAAGTCGTGAAGGGATCTTTTCTTCCAGATGGTGTTAAATTCAGCTGCCTTTTTAACATTGGCCTTGCACAGCAATCTGCTGCTCCCCTTTCACAAAGACTGCGCTTGGTTCCCACTAGTTAACATGCATGCTCACGCAACCTGCAACTTCACTCCAACTGTTTTACAATGCAGTGGTATGCTAAATAAACTTGATCCGGTTTCTGCCAATGTTAAAACTAGCTTTCAAAGAACTACTTAACTGATATTTACACTTCTTTTGACTTAAATGTACATGCCTTTGGAATATTTCAGATTTCAAAGAAATATCACCTTATTATAAGGTCATTGTAGAGATTACCTCGGACACCCTTCAGACCCATGCTCAGATACAGTACCTCTCTTCAACACACACAAATAAAACAAAATGTCAGAAGTTTGATGTGTAATAGAAAAAAGAAAAATTGGGACATGTTGCAGCAAGAGCAGTGGAACAGCAAAAAATAAAATGAAAATAATAACATTGAAATGTATTTTTATTGATCGATAAGTCATGTAACATTAGTATGATACAAAGCAAGTTTGATATGACAATGGCAAACACATAATTATAATATTGTTTATTTTCCTTAGATGTTATATTTAACACATTTACATAAAAGACCAAGATGTAGGCAAAAGCTTCAGTAATTTGACTCCATTGAGTGCTTTCAGTAAACAATAGGTTTCCCCAGCAAACATCTTATTGCCTTAATTGAACCTCCTTGAGAAAGAAAACCACACACTTTGTAATGTAAATGTTAATTGTAGTAGACAATGGTTCTAGGTAAATAGCACCCCTGGACATGAAGTAAATGAAAGGAATACAGGCACTTAACAATGAAAGGTTGTTTGCACAAACAGTGCTTCAAATGTAAATAAACAAGGGTCTTCTCAACGGTCACTACAGTAGTAAAACTTTGGCACGTGTTCAGCAGCCAAATTGAGAATTTACATTAATAAAGTCTCTCAGAGTTTCTAACAAACTAACAGTGCTTTTACAGGCTTCACGAGGCTGCAGTCTTATAAGGATTTGAAACTACAAAGGAAAATGTAATGCTTTTGAAGAAAAACTGTATGTTTGGGATTTGGGATTGCTAGTAATCTAGGCCCTGTGGAAGGTAACAAGTCATTCCAGACATTTTGTAATGCAAGGTTTGTATTTATATTTAAATACCTATACAAATGTTTGCTTGGTGACACATGGAAAAATGTAAGGATTTCTCTAAAAGATTATGGGGGGGGACATCTAAAATGCCAAAGTTTCTCCTAAGCAAAGTCATTTTTAGGTTAAATGAAAATGGCTGTTTAGAACACATTTAGCTGGTTCTATATCAGAACAAACTTTTATTGTGTTTTAATTAACACTCTTCAGGTTGAGAATTTTATAGTTTCACTTCCAGTGCATGCCTACTAGCATAATTAGGCCAAGTTTCTAGATACATAATGTTCAGAGGTAAACAGTCTGATGAAGTGATCATAACGTCTGTTATACAGAGACACATATTTTTAAATATAACCCACCCAAAACAATAGCCAGAAAAGGTGGTCCACCGGGCCAAAAGGAGGGACTGAGAATTTGACATGAGGGCCAGGAAGTAATGGCACTTTGCGGGAAACTGTTTTCTACTAGCTTTCCTTCCATATTAAAAATTTCAACCGAAGAAAACAGCCAGACTTAATAATGGCCAGATTAAACAGCGATTATAAAATTAACAGAGACAGACAGTGCGCAGCAGCTACAGACCAGTTGGCGCTGCCATTTCGGAGGCTGCAGATGGCTGTGGGTGGGAAATGCCTCTACTTTCTTAAGCGATGGAGATGAGCATGGTGTGTGCACTTGATGTTTTTTTCATACCCCCACCCCCCAACAGGGCTGTCTGTCATAGGCTGCCGGGCCCCGCTTTACCACTTGCCCCCGAGCGTGGGAATCGGAGCGTCCTGCCGTTCACATCTCCCGCATTCCGTTTAGTGGAATCAATTAGGCAAGACAGACCCTCAGATTCCCCACCCCCTTTCCATTTTTGTCAGGTCTATATACGTCCTAATTATTTCAGTTTGGGATGCCAGAGCTGTTTCCTGGATAGACCTGATCATCCTTAAACAAAAAGAGAGGAGGCGCACACGTGGGTTGTGGCGTAAATGTCACTTTCATTTCCAATGCTAGGCGCAGAGTAAGACAGAACATTTTTTTAACACTTTGACAAGAGGGGAGGCGATCTCGTCTCCATCATGTCTTTCTGCTTCAGTAGCTTCCTCAAGGAAACCCTCTTGGAACAGAGAAGCATCTGTCCTTGTATTTTGAATAGAAGAATAAAAATCAGCCTTTGCTTTTTTTTTTTTTTTTGCATTTTTGTTTGCATTTTATATCAACAAAACTCTTGATTCTAAGGACTGGAGTTTTATTGTTGTCAGGGGAGTGTGTAATTTACTCAGTTCTGTCTTGCCACAGCANATATGCAGTTTCCAAGTATAATCTTTAAATTTTTCAGGGGAGGGGGTCTCAGAAGGGAACAGCCTAAGTCTACATATATATGGAATCATTTGCAAACTAGGTACCAGACAGCTCTACAACAGCTTTCTAAGAAAAAAAGGAAAAAAAAACACCTCCAAATGTAAACTTTCGCCTTAAAGTGGGACACACTACACGTGCCCCCTTACTCATTAGCACTATACAAGTCTCCTCTGCAGCTCCAACGACCTCTAGCAAAATATCTCCACCTTTATGTTTTGGCATACGTGTGTCACTTAATTTCCTCTCATCCCACCTTTCATCATAAGGCAAAAACGAACACAAAAACAAAGTTAGATTCAATAAGTGTTCCTGACCTTTCCGGTTTTTACTGTCTCTGGGCTGTCGTTCACTCTCACACGCTCGCCGGCGACCTTGAAGGAGTTTTTACTTTCGGTTATCTAGCTTTATGAAGACCAATACACTCATACAGCTAGATAACCAAAGATAACAACTCGCTTCCCTCACAGCCTCTGTCTTCTTCGGCCCATACTCCAGGTCCGGATCTTTCTGGCAGCGCCGAAGAGTATAGTCCTCCAGGACACTTGGCCGCGCAAAAGATGCCTCCTTGTATGTAAATATGACCTGGTTTCTGTTTGTGTGTGCGGCTAAAACATCCAAACGAGAGCTGTGGCTTTCAAAGTTTATTCCAAACTTTTTTTTTTTCCTCCTTTCAGCAGGTAATCTCCGGCAGCGTTAGCCAACAATTCATCTATCAAGATCAGAAAATAAAACCAGCTATTACGGTGCAGCAAGCGGTTACGAGTGAGCAGCAGAATCAGTCCCTTCACAGGCCTCTATTTGCATTGTAAATTGCTTCATTCTCACGCAAGACTCTTTAGCCTCCCTCTATAGAGACGTATAAAGCCAACGGCAATTTCCAGCGCAGGTTAAGGAGGAAGGAAAAAAAAAAATCCCATTCTATAGAAGAAGTGACAGCTGATTCAAGGATCTGCTCCGGATCCTTTTGGGGTAGACACCATGAGCTTTTTTACCAAGCGGTGGCAGCTTGATTGCACATATCTTGTGCGTGTGTGTTTTAGGGGGAAGATCCTCGATTTCACAGGGCTTCTAGGCTGGGGAGGAGAAGATGCCGTCTTGCTGGCGTGCTGCTGCCCCGGGTCTGAAAGAAGGAGAAAAGGGCCATCATTGGAGGGGCTTTCACTGCCAAAATGTGGTCCAGCCCGGCAAGGTCAAAGGTTCGAGACCGCGGGAGACCAAGGTAATGATGATGTCATGAGAAATCTCAAGTACACGGTTATTGATATGCATCAGTGATCATCCAACTGCCCCACGTCTGCTGCCCGAGCAGCGGCAGCAAAAGCAGCGGCGGCGGCGGCGGCGGCATTGCCACAGCCCTGTTTTCTCAATCAACAGCTCTTCGCTAGCACGACCGCCTGCTCCTGGAAAAGCAACCCGCGGCCTTTTACCTCCTCCGTGCTAGTGTAGATCGCTCTAATATCCAAAGACTGGAAGAAATCTCTCTCTAAGGACAGATAAAAGCATTTCAGATCAGGGGAACGTCTTTACCTGCGTTTCTCTTCTGGCAGATTGCAGGGGCAGGCAGATGGAAGGCACTTTGCGATTGCTTAAAGCAGGGCCTTGCTTTCTGGGGCTGGGAATCAGATCTGTATTACGCAGTGAGTCCATGTGTGATTACATTGACAATTTGCTCTGGTGGTGTGTTTTTAATGGCTTCACAGCTCAGGCATGTTTTGTATCTATGTACCGTGGCGATAGGGCATCATATTTTGTTCTGTAAGTTCAAAGTGAATGCTCTAAGCAAGCCGACTTCATCCTGCATTTTTTTAAAAAAAAAAATAACTCTGTATACAGTGTGTGCCTTAGATGTAGCACAGGTAAAGACTGCAGCAATAGTTTCTAATGTTGTACACAACTCTGCTGTAATAAAAATGCTGAGGATTTGTCTGTGGTTTCAAACATTAATTTTCACACAGAAGAGCAAAATATACTGGTCTTCCTTATCAAATTATTTTTAAAAGGATTGGTACCTCATTAAAAAGACAGATAAGACACCTGGACATTAAGAGCATAACTCTACCCCCCTTCCCCTTCCCCACCCCCGCCCTTCTATCTAGAGAGGGATTTTGTTTAATTAAATAATTAGCCTCATTCTTTTCCTTAGGACTTTCCAAGTGTGAATATGGCCACTTAAAGACCTCTTCTTCTCTCTTCTCCATAATGGGAGGTCTATGTCTAATGCATCTATGATATGTACAATTCTAATAGTCAGATGTCCCTCAACAGACATTTGTCCATATAAGATACATATTCACCATAGGTGAACTTTATGGACTGTTATGAGTTATGCTTGGTGGTGTTACTATTCTTTAAATATATGCTACATGTAAATGTCATAAATCTTCATATTCATTTCACACATCACTAGTTTATCACAACAGCCTCATTTTTATAGGTTTACTATTTTCCCCATCACTAAAACACTTTCATAATTAATATCCACTCTCATTAATTCAGTAATTTATTCATTTAAGACGAGTGTGAATATGGCTATCAAATGCATACAGAGTGCACATATGCAAAGCCTACAGAAAAGACTGACAAGAAAACCAGAATTGCTAAGAAAAGCCCCCAATTAAGAGTTCAGACAACAATATTACACAAATTAAATATGTAAGTTAGTAACACAGATGCCAACTTTCCCCTAGATTTTTTAGTACTTTACTTTTTTGGTAAGCATTCTTGTTCTGATTATTTAGAAAAGACTAAGCCATGGAAATTGCTCATCTATTTTCTTTATCAAATTTTGGAACAGGAAGTACAATCAGAAATGGCTGCACTGGGTTATATATAAGACATGCATGCAAGCTAAATCAGAGGAACACACACCCATACAGTTACTATTCCTTATTGAACTATGAGGCACAACATAAACTGGATAAAAACTGAATACATCACTGAGGCACATGACATTTTTGACATTATGTAAAACCCCTATGAGCTTTACTTCCTTGGAAGATGGAGAGTATTTTGGCCTTGATTTCCAAGACCTAGAAGCAGAATCATTAGTGATTTGGCATGTACCACATAAAGGAAGCATATGATCAGATTACTTCAATTCCTTAAGTCAAAACCCCACCAAATGTCAGTTATTTTTAGAATATCTCTTTGCTTTCTATATGTCTGGGTGGGGGTTGGTGAGAGTAGAGAGATGGAATGCATGTATGTCTGTGTGTGGATCACCACCATATTTGTGTGAATTTGCAAATGAATATAACTATACTGCCATATTTAACAATTAAATGAGTTTTTAGAACCCAAGTTACTATCATTAAAGCCAAGACACAACATCTGAGATGCTTCTACAGTTAGAAGCTATAGAATAAACTGTCTTAAAACAGCATCTTCTGTGGCAATGCCACATAGTCATATCAACTAACTCCAAGACTGGCCCCTTGCCTGTCACATATATTGTAGATCACTTGAGAGCACCCAAAAGTGAATTTATCCAACATAATGATTATGGACACTCTGTTCACTAGCCATATATAGCTAATTAAATATTTTACCTCTCCATCATCTTTCAAGGTATGAAGAAATAAAAAATACACAGCAAGACTTCACACACCTGGTTATTCTGAATATTGCCAAGGTTTATCATATTCATTTCAAAAACTGTTACTATCTAGGATGTGAGAGAAGTCGAAACAATTGTGCTATTCTAAAGATTCCTAGCAATGTCTGCCACACATTGTTATGAGCAACTATTAACACCTACATGTTTTTATTTCAGTTATTTTTGCTTTTCAAAAAGCTATTTAGCTGAGTTACAGAATACCTTTTTGAAATCTGCATATCGAAGGATATACTGAATTCATATGGCTTGCCTACTCATTCTCTAATAAATTCCCATTAATGACCAGTAGATTGGGACGTGATTGTCATGCTTGTTTTCTAATCTTTTTATAGGTCTCCAGATGGCTGAAACATGAATTGAAACATCCTGGTTTTCTTGGGAATAAACAATCTCTGCTTAAGTTAAAAGTGGAAAGTTATAATTTTCCACATATTTAGATCAGAATTATGCTATTCCATAAATGCAAATACATCAGGTTTGCCACTAATATTTAGAACACCTCTCTGAATCCTATTCAGACCTCTGCAGAGTATATGAAGAAATTGGCCTATCACTGAAATCCCTTTTTAATATCGAGTTTGTATGATTCTCATGCATGTAAACCACAGTCCACTAATATAGTCAAGACTACCATTTTCCACATAAAAGCCATTTAATTTATAGTGATCTGTACAGTTCAGGCAAGGTACTTGACTGGCTTACTTTCTAATAAAAGTGTCCTATTATTTCTTCTGTACACTAAGTTTCTTTTTTATTAGCAGTTAAGGTTATATTTACATTATCCTTAATATATAATATAGACAGGAATACCTATCAGGAGAAAACTGCACATATGGAAACTTATATATTTCTGGAATTGTTTCTATCATAAGAAATGGGAGATATGCAATACACTGCAGCTCTGCCACCCAGTAAATAATATCCTATTTCTATTTTGCACATCACTTTAATTTTATCAAATGTAAAATTTTAAATTACCTTTGGTTGGTTGGATTGTCTATTCATTTTATGCTTCTTTGTAGTCTCATCTGAAAAACAGTCAAGAAAACAAATGATCACAGTTTTATATATACATACACATACATATATAAAATCATGTCTAGATACAATTTCATTTAAAGTATTGCAATTACCACAATTCCTTAAAATGCCAAGAGATTCCAGAAAACCCCAGTATAATACATCCTATGCTTCAGCACCCACAGGGTTAAATATGCTAATTTGCATTTAAATGGAGACATGCATGATAATGGCAATGCAAAATATGCAGAATCTGGAGGGGTTTGGGAAATTAATTTTTTTCTTTCTTTTATTTTTAGCTTAGAAGAAAGAGGGACTCTTAAGAAACATTTGGGATTTGAACACTGTAACCTGCCATACAAAAGAGGAGGGAGAGTTCTTCCATGTAAGAATTTAAAGACTGGAACAAAGTCATATTTTTTATATGTTTAAGGCATTGAATTTCCAGGCCATTCAAACAATGGGAATCCCTGGATAAATATCTAATCCATTAGAAAGATGCAAATAGTTTACTGTAAGGCCACAGCACGGTGAGATGTGCATTCATGTCTACGGCTCCTGATTGGCTATTTCCTCCAATAAATCAATGAATAATGTAAAACCTGACTGCTGTAAAGTGGTGGATTTTTTTATTCCCTTCCCCCATCCCCCACGACTCAATATTCAAGAAGTCTTACACTCCCCAATATAGGTGCTTTTCTTTTGTGATTTTTCTAAAATGCTTATTGTTATTTTGGAAAAATGGGGTGGGGCTACTGGTTTTGCAAAATGAAAGTACAGCGGTGGTTCAATTATGCTGACTACGGGAGCTCATCTCTCTAGACAGCGCCCTAATTACTGGTGCCAAGGTGGGGAAGGAGTGTGGCTGGCAGAGGTAGGCACCACCGATAGGAGGACAGGGGATCCGACGCCGCCGTTCTAGGCCCAAGGCTGCCACAGCGTCCAAAGTGACCCCGGCCGTGGCCGTGACTTGACAGGGCCTCCGGACTAACTTCTGATGAATTCCACTGCTGCCCTGACCCCTCAAGACAGTTCCCCATTCAAACAGCGCGGGTACATTTGCAAGAGAAAACGTATCAGACGCTAATGCAAATACACTGCCTGGGTTCCTACCGCCCTGGGTTCTCGCAGGCAATTCCAAGCCCAGGAAGGAAGGTCTCGCCTTCCTCAGCAAGGTCTGGGCTCCGAGCAAACCGCAGAGACCCGGCTTTCGCTCAGACACCACAAGAAGTCAGAAGCTGAAACGCTCCAAGAAGTAACCGCGATGGTTGCATCTTGATGAATCTGAACTTGGGATAACCCTGCAAAGCGGCCTCTTGCTTCCCTAAACCCAAAAGGCCCGAGAGAAACGGGAAGTGGAAATCCACCGGTTCTACTGTGCATAAGTTTCCGCCAGAATCCAATCAGACCCTCACTCCATTGCCAGGTAATTGCAACTTTGAGGTGGTTTAAATAATTATTCAAAACGCGAATCCTGAACCCAGGAACGCAAAAAAAAAAAAAAAACAAAAACAAAAACAAAAAGCAATTTGCACTTGGCTCTAGGCGTAAGAGGGAGAAGTCCCACTATCGACAACACAAAATAACATACAACATTCCCCTTTCCACGGCGAAAATTTCCTGGCATTCTTCTTCATTGGGGTGGGGGTGGGGGCGCGGGGGTGGTAAAACCACTAGATAATTAACAGTCCCGGCTCAGACAACTCACGAGATCAACAGGTTTCGCATCCGAGACACACAATCAATTAGCTGAAGCAAAGCCCCGGACTGGCCCTCGGAGCGGCCCGCAGCGGGGCTCTGCGGGCCCCGACTCACGGGCGAGGCTAGGAGCGCGGGCGCCGGGACACGGCAGGCACGCTGGCCCCGCGCCGCCGGCTGAGTTGCCGCCTGCGGGCCGCCGCGATACTCACTCGCTCTCTTGGCTGCGCCAGGCAGTGTTGCCCCCCAATCCAGCTGGGTAGGAATCGAGGCGCCGGCCAGGAGACAAGATCCAGAGTCACAGGGCAGCCGCAGTACGCAAACAGGCTTCTTTCGGCGTCTCCAAAAAAAAAGAAAAAAAAAATTTTTTTTTTTCAGACCATCCCTCCCCTTAGCACATTTAAAACTGCCGCTCAGTTCCACACGGTGATTGCTTGATTGCGTCTAAAATAGTTTAAACGGATCTTCCCTCGTTGGGGGGAGAGAGAGAAAGGCGCAAAAGACGAAGAAGGAAAAAAAAGCCAACTTTTCCCCCCCACACCAGGCACTTGCTCCCTGAGCCTCGGAGTGGAGAGTGAAGTGGTGTGTGCGAGGCTCGGCAAGTTTTTGGGGGGGCTGTCCAAGGTCTAGTCCAGCCCCCTCTGCCGAGGAGGACGTGCTCTGAAACTCAACCAATTTCCCCACTGCTTTTGTTACTGATGAACTGAAGCCCTATTGTTCATCCATTGCCACGGTCTTTTTCAGTCCCCACACTACGTTCTGCGTTGCCAGAGATAATGAATTTGCACCCAAACCTCTCATAGTCCCCTCCTGACAGACGGAACAAATTAGAAATGTCTCGTCTGAAGCAGGCAATGGCTACATTTTCCTATTGTAGGAAAGCACACATTTCTTTGGAAAGTTCTTTTGCCTTTCCTACCTTTTATTTCCTTCTTTCTTTTTTTCCTCCAGTTTTTTCCCCTCTTGATTTCTTTAGATGCTTTTCAAAAGGATAGCTCTGTTTTGTTTTTCCGATGCACCATTTTTACGTAACTTATGGATCTTTTCTCTTTTCCTTCCTTCTTCCCTCTCCTTTCTTTTTAAGGACTCCTTTGCAATTTTATTTACAAACTTGGAGAATGACCTTTTGACTTGCAGACTTCTTTTTTTTAAAGAAAGGTCTTTTGGTTCAAGTCCCCCTTCCTTCCTCCTCCCCCTCTTTTTGTTGTGTTCCTTAAATGTGTTTGGCTAACGACAGCAATACATTATAAGGATTTTTATTCTTTAAACTTCAGAGCTATTCAAAAGGTACCAGGGACGCTCCATAGGGGTTAGCTATTTGAGGGGGAAGAAAGTGTGTGTGTGTGTGTGTGTGTGTGTGTTCCAGGGAGTGTGTGTGTGTGTGTGTGTGTGTGTGTGTGTGTGTGTTCCAGGGAAAGAGGCTGAGAGATGTGGGAGGGTGTGGGTGGGAGTGTGCAGGGAGAGAAGGGTGGGAGCCTGGAAGGGAAGGTGGGCTTCCTGAGACGCGAGCCGGGATGCTGTCACGGGTGTAGGCGCGAGAGAGAGGTGCAAGAAGCCGTCGCACGGAGGGCTGCTTGCACCCCTGGGCCTGTTCGCGCGCCCCGGCCGCCCGCAGCCTGAGCGCGGGGGTCTGCGCGCGCGGGCGCCTCTTCCGAGCCTGCGCGCGTGCGACAGGGGGGCGGGAGGCGGGGGCTGTAAAAATTCAGACGAGTGGCCCGTATGTAAATGTGGCCCAAGGGGGAGTGGGGAGGAGGTAATGAGAGCCGCGGGCGAGTAGCCAGCCGGCGGCCCCCAGCTTTCCCGCCAAGTGCAGCCGGAGGACAGACAGCCATGCGTGTCCTTGGCGGGAGGGCCCCCGCCCGCCGCGCGCGCCCGCCCCCGCGCACACGCACACGCTCCCAGAGCCGGCGTGGGGCCCGGTGGCCACAAGCATGTCAAGAAAACAAAGCTAGGGCTGCGAGAGGTGGAACGAAGAAACGGCAGCCTCGGCGGCCCAGGGCCGGACTAGGAAGCCGGCTCCGCGGCCTCCGGTGCCGCCCCGGCCTCGCCAGCCCGGAACCCAGGTCCTCCGCCCCCGGCTCCGCACAGCCCCGGTCCCCGCAGAGGCCGAGGACCATTTCTTAGCGGCCTAGGAGAGGGCGGAGGCGGGGGCGGATGGGCGCCGGCGGCCCCCCGCCGGGAGCGCGGGCACGCACCCGCGGGCGCGCGAGGCCGTAGTCTGGAGTCTTGCAGGCCTCCCTGCCGCGTCGCCGCAAGCCGCTCCCTCCTCGCGGAGGCCGCCGAGCTCCAAGTGCAAAGTCCACCGGGCTAAATCCCTCAAGACTGTGCCCGGGCCTGCGGCTACCGACTCGCTCGCACCTCAAGCTCCCCCCTCCCTAGACAATGTAAGGGCCTGGCCCTACCGAGACAGCCTTCTCTGATCCACCCGCCCCCCCACCCCCGCCTTAAGATGGGCGTCACTCGAACTCCAGCCCCGGAGCCCTGGCCTAGATGGCCCCAAAGATAAGTCCCGGAGGTGGCCTTGGAGAGACGCTGGTCTCTCGCTCATCTCGCTCACAGCGCCTGCCTCGGTGCTCACCAGCCCAGGCACCTCCCCAAAACACACACACACACACACACACACACACGACACTCCCATCACATTATAAAACGCACGCTCCAGGCAAGGCTGTTAATGAAGCCAACGCGCTTAATGAGTGCACAGGTAAACAGGTACCGAAACGAGAAGCCCTCACCAGTCGGCTGGGCGATTTACCTCTCCCTACTGGAAACACGTGTAGTTTATCGTGTTTTAGGAGTGATTTGCTCTTGTCTGAGGTCTCCCCCTCCTCTTCTTGTGGAGAGAAGCCAAAAAAAAAAAAAAAAAAAAAATTCATGTTCCATTGTCAGAATCTTCTTTGTGATAAGCTACCCGAGCATTGGCCTAAAGCCTTGGGGAATCTGATTTGGTCTGTTATCTGTTGGTTTGGGTTTGTTGTTTTGGGGGTGTGCTGTTTTTCTGGGGGAAGCAAGAGAACGTGTGTTTCGTGGGGCTGGAGGTGTAGGACCAGAGCCTGCGATGCGGCCTGAAGGCTGGCGAGGCTGGAAGCCGAGCTGCGGAGAAAGAAGGCGGCCGTTCGTCCTCCCCCGGGGTCGACTCGTGGGCTCCCCAGCCCCCCTCGGGTCTTGGATCTGCCACCGCCGTGGCCGCCGCCCGTGCTGGCGGGCTCCGCCGGCCGCCGATCCGCGTTTTCCCCCATCCCGGCTTCACGTTCAAGGTTTAGCTGCGAGGTCACGTCCATTGACGTCAGCTCCCTGTCTCCCTCTACGTCCGGCTACATTTACATACATCAAGGAAATTAGGGCATTAAAAAAATATGCAAATCCTACGCGAAGAGGAGCCCGTGCTTTCCTGGCGCGATCGCCTTTTATTGAAGCTTTTAATTAAAGGGGCCAGTTGGCGAGCCCCTGAAACAACCGCCAAAACCCCCAAAAGAGAAAAATAAACGCTGTAGCCTTCGGGAACGGTTGTTTCGGCTCCTGTTCTGTGGGCGGCTGAGGACCGCCGGCTGCCCGGCTCGGAGAAGAACAGGTTAGAGGAGGCAGCTCCAGCCCATGCATAATCAGGGCTCCGCGGCGCCTCCATTCTTTCCTCCTCCTCCTCCTCCTCCTCTCCTCCACCTCTCCTCCTCCTCCCGCTCCTGTGGGTTCCAGCGTGTATTATTTTTAATACTGATGCATATGTAAAGATATATTTGCATTTTTTAATTCGTGAAAAGTTCAGGTTTATCGTTTTATTGATTCTCTCCCCCACTTTTTTTTTTTTTTTTTGGTTATCTTCTGTCTATCTGTCTCTCTTGTCCCTTTCTGTCTGTCTATTTTTTGGCAAGTGTCTTCGGCTTTCTCTTGCTAGATGATATGTACAATTGCCTTCCTGCTTCTGTTTATTTAAGGCTCCATATATGCACACCTGTCATGTATGTAATTCCAGATGTATAACCTCCTGGTTTGGTCATAAAAGAAAAGACACCTTTTTTCTCCCCCTGACATATCCCCTTGATCTGATGTGCTGCCCATCGCTCAAGGCTCAAAGTTGGATTGTCTAATTAACTTCATATTAGCAAAACAGTTTGGGCCAATGCATTTGAGACAATATATCTATGAAAGAAAGTGACTCCAAAGATGTCTAAAGAATTCTTGTGCTGATTAACTGATAGGTATAGCATTCACCGCCCTATTGCTTTCTAGCATTTATTGCCCCCCCCCAAAAAAACTTAAAATGTGTAGAAACAGCAACCGACAGCCTTCTTCTGCAAGGAAGACATTTTCAACCATGTATGTTGTACCTTTTCTGCTTCATTCAGAATTTACTGTTTCATTTTTATCTTAGTATGACTGGAAACAAGGCATATTACCTTGATCAAAAAGCATCCTTAGTTCCTGACTTTGGAATGAAAACAAATAAACAAGATAGTTTACTATATTAAGCCAGTTGACTTGTCCTAAAATATACAGGCCTTGAGTTAGATTTCAAGCAGTGGAAATCTTATTTATAGGGTTGGATTTTTCATTCTGGCAATATGTCTATTCAGCACAATGGCTTCTGAAAAATATATCTGTATAAAGTCCACTTTAAAAATTTCCCCAAAGCTATCATTTTAAGAAGACTGAATCCATAATTGCATAGCCACAAAGAATAGCAAAAGGCACACATGCAGCTTATTCAATTAAACAAGTCCGAGTACATGCACAGGTAATTAGTTTTCTCATGAATGACTTACCTGCACAGATACTCAGGGTAAGACTCACCCTCTCCAATGGCTTTCATGTATAAATATTCATATGTGTTTCCACCCATTTTAAACCTACAGCTCTATGCCATCTTTCATGTTAGACTATCCAGCGTCCATTTTTAGCACCCTTAATTCTTAAGGCATTTCCAGCCTTACCCCTGGCTGTAGTTTTTCCAAGCCTATACCAAAGTGCTCATATGATATGTCACCCAATAAAAAGTGGTCAGATGGCTACACGTAAAACATTTAAAAACGGAGATGCACTAATCCTTTTGGTTTCTCCTTCACTTTGCCATTTTTAGCAAATTACCGTTTCCTAAAGTACATTTTCAACACGTTTTATGAATAATTGCAGGTATTCCACAACCGGTTGCAGAATTGTCAGTTTCTTGGGGGAGGGGTGGGGGGCACCAGGCTGAGTGAAACAATTCCGCAGGTTAAGTGTCTCTTCGAGTTTGGCTGCAATTCAATTGTGCGCGGCGGTTTGTTCCTACCTGGACTCTGGCACATACCTGCCCGCCTTTATGCAGGGACCAGGACAAACGTATCAGCCACGTCGCAGGGCATA